AAATGAAAAAAATTTTATAAATTATTAATGATGTTTATATAAGTGTCATGTAAAATATTTGTGTCGGTTCTTAGATTTATGCTATTGTTAGTCCGAACTATTAACATTGATTCTGCCATGCTACGTTTAAATAAGTCTTTCTCATGGAATAAAATTTGGGGATTGTCAAAATCAAACTTATGGTTGTTGATATTAGCATGATCCACAAGTGTTCATATTAAACAATTAATATTCGTTCCACTCATATCATAAAATTCTATATATATATATATATATATATATATATATATATATATATGGGTGGTCCTTAGAATGGTCATTTTCGAATTTCCTTGCTCAAATAGTTCCAAATAGATAAAAAACAATTCTCTGAAAGTTTTAGCTCTTAATATTAACGTTTAGATAGAGCGCAATTCAATCAAACTTCGTATGGAAAGAGCGTGGAAAAAAATTTTGAAAATTAAAAAAAAATGTTTTAGGTATAACTTAGCTGAATGAGTTATTCATTCATTTGTTCGCTAAATTACATCTAAAAAATTACATCTAAAAAATTTTTGAAAATTTCTCCATGCTATTTCCATACAAAACTTTGATGGAATTGCGCTCTATCTAAACGTTAATATTAAGAGCTAAAACTTTCAGAGAATTGTTTTGTTTTGGAATTCAGAGAATTGTTTTTCATCTATTTGGAACCATTTGAGCCCCTGGGAGCAAGGAAATTCGAAAATGACTATTTTAAGGAGCACCCTAATATATATATATATATATATATATATATATATATATGCATGTGAGTAGTATATTGTATGTATGTATTTATAAATGTATGTATATATTTATGTAGAATTTAAGTATAATTGGTCGGGCCCGGTGCAAAGTCGAGGGCTTAGTTTTTGTGTTGGTGCATATGCACTCGAAGAATAGAGTATGCTACAACGTGTCTTTAAATCAATATTTCAAAATTTTAGTTAATGTTAATATACATTTATAAATCAAACCCAAACAAAAATTGGGAAAGTAATATAAAAATTAAATGTACAATGAAGCGAGAAAACGCAAAAGATTTTACAGTCATTCTTTTTTTGATACATATTTTCTTGATTATAATAAATCAGTGTTTTCAAAACTAGTTTTCAAATTGAAATTAGATGAAAAACCTGGGTAATATTTCTGGGAAATGATAGTTCCACCTGTTATTTAGGTAGCTCTGTATCAGTTTATACACACACACACACACATATATATATATATATATATATATATAAATTTGTAAACTAGCATGTAATAATAGTGTGATCTACGATGCCACAATTTTTAGGTTTGTTCTATCTTTCTATTGTGTCAAAATAAATTCAAATTCAATTGACATCTTACGTGCACATCAATAATTCAGAATAGAAAACAAATAGAGTAGAAAAAAAGAAAGTTAATGACGTTAGATATGTCATGAGTGCATATAAAACTTTCAATTTAGTCTTAATCACATGATCGAAAACGTCTGAAACTGATAACAAACGTGCAAAAATCTCAAAAATCTGCCACAGTAAGATCTGTGGCGATGTTCAATTTTTAGGGCGGCGAAATTAAGAAATTTTAAGGCCAACTTATTTTTACCTTTTCCTCGTTATAAATATTTAAGGCTGCAGACTTGTAGTGTAATAGATAATAGTAGTATAGAGCACAGTACTACAATTTTTTTTATAATTAATTTTTGTTAATCAAGACTTTAGTGTCTTATTTACAAAATTGATAGGTAATATATTGAATATAAAACGAAACAAAATTAAAATAAAATAAAATAATAACAGTAATGCAAAAATAATAATATAAATGAACTATGACGTGATGATGTATGCCGTGTATTAAGTTAGGGCGCGTGCAGACATTGAATTAAGTATTTGGTAGGGTAGAAGTCCATTTCTTGCTGAGTCTTTTTAACAGTCTGTGAATCGCTTGTATAGTAGGATTTGTATGCTGGATTAATTTATTCTTGCAAGATGAATTTCTAATTTTGATCATTTCGTTGACTACAGAAATTTTTAAATCCTTATGTAGACAAAAGTTCGAAATATACCAATACAAGGCGCATTAGTTACAATGTGTATCATTACCTGTTCAAGGAACTTCTCATAATGTACTTACGGCATAATTTGATTTCTATTTTTAAAATGTCTGATATAGCAACAAATAGTAAAATTATTATATTGTCAACTGGTAAACTGTCAATAATTGTCAATTCTCGCCGTGTCTACTATTAGTCTTTGAACGTCTATGAAAGGCCAATGTAATACGTTGACAACGGGTTTTGTCGGTACGATTCCAATCACGTCAGAGTTTGCAAAACTAAGGCCAGTCTGAATCTCATTGTAACCGGAAGCAGTTGTTAAGTACGTTAAGTTAAAATCATGTTTACAAACAAAGAGTGTTAGCAATAATTTTTGATAGATATTTAGATTTTTTCTTATTTTTTACACATTTGAAACATTACCAATACCATAAAACATTTTACAACAAAAATAACAATCTCTGAAAGTAAAGTACAGGATTAAGTTTAGTGTTTTGTGGTGACAACAAATAAAACTCTTAGTGATCAAAGTTGATTTTACACCCAAACTTTAAAGGGGTAAGTTTGCGATAATATAGGGGCTAATTCTCGGATAAAGTAGAAATGTTATGGCAATGTTTTATTACGGGTCTATCTTCGTATAAATTGGTAGTGATGAATTGTCAAAAAACTATGTTCATGCATTGCGATCAGGCGTTTTACACATAAAACCTAACCTAAAAAACGCACGAACGTCAAATAACAATTTTATCATAAGCGCAATTACGTGAAGTTAGGTTTTTGATGGTTCGTTCTGCTGCCAATTCATATGAAGATAGACGTGTAACATAGCATTACCGTAGCAATTTTATTTCATCCGAGAATTGGACCCATAATTTAGGCAGGTTTCGAAAAATATGTGTTTAAATAGTTTGTAGTGTTTATCCCGAAGAAGTTTGGTTTCATCAAAAAATCCGATTTGCTATTTTATGTTTTTTTCGACGTTTCTAGCTATTCTGAATCGAATGAGACCAAATTTGGAAATAGTATGTGTGTGTGTGAACAGTTTTTTTTCAGTAAATCGACGTTTTCTCAAAAACGGCTGGACCGATGTAAAAATTTAAAAGCCATTCGATGCACCTCGATGAGAGCTATTGTTTGTCAGTTTTGTGCGACGATCGGCCATGCCGTTTCTTTATAAATAGTAGAAAAGTGAATTTTTTTTCGTCCAAGTTTTAGCTCGCAATTCCGAATCGATTTTGAAAATTCAAAAACCGATAGAAAGATATTGGTTGAGAATCGCGCTGATTAATATTTCTTAATGTAATAAAGTGTTAAAAAAAAAATTTCGATGATTTTTATTATTATTTTGACGGTAAATACCATAATCTTATAGATCATACTAAAATATTACGGCCCTACGACACCTCGCTTAACTTTAAAAATTCGTCAAAGTTTGCAAAAATTGGCATCGTTTTTTTGTCAAAATAAGGCCATTGATCGACGTTTGCTTAAAAACGCCTGAACTGATTTCAGAAATTTAAAAGCCATTTGATGTGTCTCGATGAGGATTATTGTTTCTCAGTATTGCGCGATGATCGGCGGAGCCGTTTTTTTGTAATTTGAAAAATAGTGTTAAACTTTTTGCCCACATTTAAGCTCATACTACCGAATCAATTTTCCAGTTATACTCAGATTAGCTACCGTATCAACTAACTGCAACCAATGATTTGTATGGATCATGCAGTTCATGACGGATGCGAGTAAAGTTGGTTTTGTTATCCAAATAAATTGTGGAACATGTCCGTGATATGAATTAATTGTACTAAAAGCTGAGTTCTGAGGGTTCTATAAAAACATTCTTTAGTATAATGTTTTTATAGTATAATGGAATATTCTTTTATCACACTTTCATTGGAACGCATCATATTAATTCGATGGAAAACTTTATATGCATATAAATATATGTTTTAGTTTTAAAATAAATGAGCTTGCACCCATTTATTTATAACTGAAATGCAAAATAATACTTTAGTAGAGTTGCTTGCATCACTTTAAAAATATTAATTTTGTTATATATTAACTTGATATTAATTTAGCTATGCCTCTTACCAAAAATTTAAAAGAATATATACAAGTTTTGTCGGATCTTTTTATTAATTGATATCGATTCAACATTTTCTTTGATTTTTGTTCAATTAGCATTTTCCATAGAAGAAACCATAAAAGTTCTAAAAATGCGTTATGATAGAAAATTTTATTTGCAAATAAATCTCATATGCCCCCATCAAAAACTTTATTTCTCTTTGTAGTCGGTTTCATATAGGTTTTTTATTATTATTTATTTGTTGTTTTGACCAATGCAAATGTCGTCAAAAAAGGACTTGTCAGCATGTTTATTGCATTTATTGGGACATAGAACAATTTTTTGTTTTTTTTTATTATATAGTAGCTTTTACACCTGTCCTGAAATGGACAACAAGGAAAGCTGTAGGGAAAAAAATGACTTCAAAAATATACCAGTATCTCTGACCATTGTCAGAGATACTGAAGATTGAAAATATTTTGATGTAACATGAACTTTTTTTTCAATCTTGTTCTGGTATGGTTTAGTTCTTTGGCCTTCTGGCAAGTAGGTTTGGATGATCCTCGAGGCGACTTTTGTATTTGTCTGAATGTGTTCGCATTTCATCGTTTATTGTGTTTATTTCGTCGTCTTTTTTTTTTTTTTTTTTTTTTGTATCCGTGCATTATTTTTGCCTGTTTTGTAAAATAGGCATATGAATTCAAACTAATTTAATTATAATTTGTATGTGTCTTACTTAATGCTAAGTGTATTAGGAAAGATATATATGAATATAATATCTGTGCTTTTGTGCAAACATGAATTATAATTTTTGTACATCTATTTCTCTTCGTGTTGATATCACCAAAAAATATATTTTATTCCTTCCAGCAAGAAAAGCGTGGACGACACGTGCCTCAACTGAATCTATTCTGCATGGAAACAAGTAAGGTAAAATTTTATGCTAATTGTATATTGCAGCTCGGAAAGTTATAAATTTTTTAACGTAATAACTATTTAATCAATTGATTAATTCTATATTTATTATTTGTAGTAATATAATTAATTTAATATTAGATCTGAAAACAAATATGACTTTTAATATTTGGTAAAAGAAATAGTATTTTGGCACATAGCTTTTCTATACCAATAAATGTTTGTAGAGTCTTAGTAAAAATTTTGTTAAAAGACAAGAATTTTGTGATATTACATGCATATTATGTTCAAAATACATGTACAGAAAATAGTTGGATCGTGATCTAATAAAAATAATTTATACTTTATACACGTGAGTCTCGGGCTCAAAACCAAAAGTTTGTTTTCCTTTTGAAAATGTAATTGAAAAATTTAATCTAGATTAGGAAAATAGATTAAATACAAGAAAAAACGGATTTACTTCTGTAATATATCTACTTACAGAAAAAAAATTATATGAATGTATTACTAGAAAAAAAATTTAAATGTATATGTTATATATGTCATGACTGGACCATATTTAAATTCTGATCTAAACAAGGCTAGTGTAAATATATATATATATATATATATATATATATATATATATATATTTATTGTATGTATTATCCGCATTTGAAGTACATTTCATGTTTACTCGTACTATTGAAAAAGTTTTAATATATTCATCTTGCGTTGCGCTCGTCAAGAGAAATAATGCTTCCTTTGTTTTGATTGTACAGATTTCTTTGTATTCATTAATTTAAAGAATGTATTTTTAATTCAAATTAAAATTACCATTCATACATTGATTGTGGAAATTAATATATAATTCTTGTTTTCAAAAAATTATACTTTCAAATGACTGTCACTTATGTCATGTCAAAGATCATTTAGAGCACAAATTTGGCTTCCGCGTATTGTTATTTATAATATTCGATGTATAATATGTTCATATTTATTGTGAAGAAATTCAAAGAATGTAAAGAATGTATTAATGAGTTTCCAAATATTTTAAGTTTTTGGTATGTCTTTCATTTTGGAGTTTGAAGGTTTTTTGTCAGTGTACTCTGCAATTAACAACCATTAATAAAATATAATTACATCGAATAATAAATGAATGCATTTATATATAAAACACTAATTAGGTAGGTATTTATAATAAATTTTTTCGAATTAATAAATTATTTAAAAATAGTTATTGACAATAATTAATATGACATTAATTCCTTTTAAATTATTTAAACTTCGTCTTGTTCATAGGTGAAGAGACTCAATTGACAACATGGAGCTATTTGCGCAAGATTTAACACTTTAGTGTTATTTTTGTTAGAAAACTAGTGAAATATTATTAATCTCTACTCTGGAATTGAGATACTGTTTTTAGTGACTGTAAATTATGTTATATAAAATTTTAGCCATACGAAAATCAATTTAGTCTCAATTTAGTCAGTTTAATAATAATGCAGCTTAAGATTTAAAATTAATTTCTATAAAGAAGGCAGTAAGTTCAATTTTTTAACAATCACTGGCATAGTAGGAGCATCGAAGTATAAAATTTTCAAAAATACTTGAATGCAGTACAAATTTGAATGAAATTGAAATTTGAAATCTGCATATATTTATATACTCTTTTTTGATTTTTTTCTAGTAAAAGTTTATGTTCGATGAAAAGCGATTGTTAATAATTAATTTAACAATACTTTATTATATTATAGCAACGTCTAAACTAAAATACAGTATAATACATTTATCAACAACGTATAATGTTATTTTTCTTGTAAACCATTTGTATAATATATTTTTTGTCTGTTTTATCTATTCCAATTGTCGGGTGTCCGGAAGATTTATATTAGTCCAGGGCATACACATAAAAATTATGTTTACTACAGAAAACAACGTTCTATTAACCAAATTTTTTCGATTATTTTTATGTAGACACGTAATATAATTTATTAAATTTACTATTTGATTTTTCATCTAATAAATTATTTATAAGCGTTTAAATGACTGGGTTAATTTGATTAAATATGAATTTACATCATTTATATTCTTTAATTTAAATGGAATTGTACTTACATTATTTGACAATACTTGAATGAAATTCATTAGAAATGAAATTGGTACTGAAACAAAGTCAGAAATATAAAAACAGTACATCCTAATAGCCTGACAGTCATAACAGAAAAATTCTATTTACCTATTTTAAATCTATTAATAAATAAAAACGTAGTAGATTTTTTTTATCTTTATGAGCAATTGATTTAATGTCTTATGCAGATAGATGATCAAACAAATTATAAAAAAAACTTGTTGAAGTTTTTCTTTTTAAATGTTGTTTGTTATTCCTCCTGTTTTAAACCTTATATATAAGAAAATTATCCCAACTGTAGGGCGTGAAAACTATTTCAGATTTATTATTTTGGGTAAATTAACATAATTTATTTCCATTTAAATGCTAAATTTAATTGCCCAGTTACGACTAAAAAATATAAATGAAATTTCAGGTTATCTTATATATATTTGCTTAGTATTTAAGTCTACATAACCAATATTTCTTAACCATTCGAACTAATTCATTCATAAATATTCTAGATTTATACTATAACTTGATCTAACGCTATATCACAAATGATATATACTAAAAAACTAAATATATTTTCTATTTTCAGATAAACTATAAAAATGTTGGTGGGAAGGATTTGTGATTGGTATGTGGACCTTATGGAAAACCAAAGTGGTAAGATTTTTTTTTAATTCTATAGAACTATATTATAATAATTGAAGAGAATTTCGTATAATTAATTTATAGTATGATGTTCATTTAGTGATTTTACAATTTTATTCATATTGTGAATTAGCTCAGGTTTTTATTATTTTATTGAATAGATATTATATTATAGATATTTTATGTAGGCCGATTATTTAGAGCATATATTGGAGAGTTATTATCAAGAGCAACAAAGTTGTTGATTAGTGGTTTTCATTATTATTATTATTTGATGCAGTTAATAAGAGGTAAACTTGTATTAATTTAAAACAAAAATGCAATGACCTGTTTTATGTTGGCCATCCTTGGCTATGTTGGGAAGTTCCCGGAAAGAGTATACATTTTTGGATTAATATAAAAAAAATAAACGGAAATTTTAAAACGCAAACTGGTAACATTTACTATCCTCAGGCTTCAAGGTCTTCCAATCATTCTATGCACACTTCACACAAAAAAGTATGCACGCGCTTATTTGAATTTACATGTATATAAGATGTTTTTGTTTATTAAAACATCAGAATGCGTCATTGGATTTAACTTCAATTAATGGCAATATTATTTATGCAGCTATTTGTAATTTGTCGGAAAATGGGAAGCTCCTAGAATATTTTGTTTTGCATTCTAATGTGTGCTTGGCATTTTGTACTCACTATGACGGCCTTCAGTACCACCGTTTCAAATTTCTTAATTTGATTGTAAATCTCTTTTAGAACACTATCATTTTGTAATTATTATTTTAGTGTCAACTTTGTCAACAGGACTAGTATAATAAAAAAATCGATTTTATTTAATTTTTTTATCGATATTATTTTATATTCTAAAAGTGAGGAAACTGTTCAAGAATATGTGTACCAGAGGTTTTTCAGGAATTTCTAGACGTTGACCAATTTTGAATTTAGATTTTGCTTAATATTCAAAATGCCTTCAATAGCTTATAAAAATTTGAGCACGCTGTAACTGTATTATTCAAAACTGTAAATATTTTTTAAGTATTGTTTACACAATATCAAATATTGAAAACTTACGCTCTAATTGAGAAAATTACTTTTATACCTTATTCTTTGAACTTATATATTTAATTATGATTTTTAACGCGCTCTTTATTGTTTTAGAATTTTAGAACTCTCGTTTTTCTAGAGTTTCATTGCTTAACTGTGGCTTAACAATGGTTTATTTCAGCATAGACACTATATTATTACATATAACACATCGATTGTATTAATATAAACAATACTTATAATTTTCGGAGTTTGTATTAGTTCTTTATTGTTCAAATACAATTGTTTTTGTTTTATTACAAATCGACATATTAGATCATCATTTTGTAAATTTTTGTCTTTGAGAAAGTGCCAAATAAAGTGTTTGTACCAGATTTTTTTATTATTAATTAAGTAAAGTGAATAGCAAAGTTAATTCTTTTTCCTCATTGGAAATATGGGACTCCTCATATTTATTTGTATGTAAAATAGATTAATATATTTGTAAATTTTTATTTTGAGTTATGTGTGGATATGATTATGATACGATCAAATACTTTTCAACGCCGATTTTTTTCTTCAAAACAAATCGTTCTCTCTATAAATTAAAACTATGTTGTAATAATCAGTATAAAATAATTCAATTTACATAAATTGCGATAATACAGACTTATATCATGATGAAATACAACATTCGCTAATATCATTTGTGTATTTATGTATCAACTTTTCCTTAATTCTTTTTCTTAATTGTAATATATTTTAACCAGCATAACAGACCGAATAATGAAAAATAATCAAAACCGTGTCTGCGCATTAACAAGAGTTATTTGTAAAGATACACTTTATTATCAATGATAATAAATATCGTAAATTATGTTTTTAAAGTTACTCTACTTGTTCAAAAATAAAGTTACAAGTTACAAAATAATGTTTGTAAAACATTTGAATTATTATTTAACTCATTTTTTAATATTGTGGCAAAATATTCTTGAATGGGGTACGTCGGAAATTAGTAGGTCCAAATTTACTTTGAGCAATTATATTATGAAAATCAAATAAATTATATTACAAGAAATAACAAACAAACTACATATATCAAACAAACAACTATCTGACTATGTTGAGTACAATACCCAGCTAATTCATCATTGTAGAAATGTGTTTTCTGCTATTTTTTAAAAATTTGTCACCTGGTCCTTTTTACCCTTTTTACCACAGTGGCAAAGAGTACAAGTCTTATTTTTAACTATTAATAACTATTTATTTAATTATTATAAATTGCTTTGTTTAATTTAATTTACTTCTTTATTTACTATTTTTTATTGCTTACACCTTTGCCAGGGTAAACGTTCAGTTGGTCTTTTTTACCCCACCTACGTGCAAGCTTTTATGGAGGTTATATAAAAATAACTGTTGAATCTAACTTAAAATTACAGTACTTTATTGAAAATTATATTAAGGTCTTGTAAACTAAACAACAATGCTCACAACCAAAAAAACTAACGAAAGAAATTGCTTTTGTTATGGATTTTCAAACTTCGCCGTTTTTCTCCGGGTTGCAACGCCGTAATAATCAAGGAAATAGCTAGTTATAAATTTTTTTGTCCTCTACTTTCAAATATTGTTATTGAAAAAATCTTAACTTTACTTATCTTTGAGATACAAGGTAACCTTTTTACCCGTGGACCTTCAAATGCAGCTTTACCCTATAAGTATATATAAAGATTAAGAGTTCTAATGATTTTAAAAAATTAATATATTTTTTACAATATCAATAACATTGTTGTTTCGACCCGCCCTTAGGAAAGTTTGACACGACTATGTTACAAAAATAAATATAAATAATAGATAAATTTTTAAACCGGTTAATATGTTTGTGACGGCAATAACTACGTTATGTTTGTATTACTTCCTCGGAAAATACGTGCTATTCTCGTTCCAATCAGATGTTTAATATGTGTATGAATCAAGCATTTTGATAAACAAGTATTATTTATGTAAATTAAATTGATGATAGACTGTTAAATTTGTTTCGAGATTACTCAACATATTTTACACAATTCTCATAAAAAAAGTCGCGAACAATATATGCATTTTCCTTATACTAATCAGATCAGTAGTTTTTTTTATTATAACTTTATATCATTTTAATAAATAATTCAACCGGAGTCATTATTTTTTTCTAAAACATATCATTTCTAATACCAAGTGATATAATTTTTCTCATATATTATCTAAGAACTACAGCGCCGCATTTTGTTTCAAAAACACGAATAAATGTTGAACGAACACCTATACGCGAAATTAGTATATTGAGATATCTATTGTAATAAAATGTTTATTTAAAATTGGTAGTGGACAATGATTTAAAAATAGTTAAAATCTCTTAAGTTAATACTGGCACAAACGCACATTTTTCTTATCAATAATTGATTAGACTATATTTTGCGTATACCGAAGCAAACTTTATTTTTTAAAATATGACAGTTTTAATTTTAAGTCTTACAAAACAAAAGGATTCTAATTTTTTTTTCAAATATTGCAAATTCTTTTAGCAGCCTGCCCTGTCATTTCTAGAATTAATTTTGAATCTCGAAGAAATCTAAACACCTTTCTCTTTTATTTTTAGACGCTTCTATGAGTTCTATAGCGTTGCAAAACAATAATTTTCTAAAATAGAATAATTTACGGTTTATTTTTTTTTAATTGTATTTTTATTGTTTTTTTTTTTCATTAATTTTATAACAACTGAATATAAATTTTGAAAATAAATTATTCTTAAAATAATTATAAGTTCACAACTTTCATTTTTTTAATAAAATTATATAGCCGTAATAATAACAATCTCTGAAAAACAAAATATGGAAAATAGTAGTCATTTTAATTTTTTTGGTTAGTTATTCTAGAATTATAATATATGATTTTAAAAACGTATAATATTATAATGTATTGGCGTTAAATATTCGATAATTTTTACTACTAACGCCAATACTTGATATTTTCAATATTTTTTCATTAGTGTGTCAAATGTAATTTTATAACCAAGTGGGTATCATTTGTTGTGTAGCTTGTTGTATTGTAATTAATTTATTGTGCAAGCACAAAGAAGTGGTTTCAAAAGTTAATAATAAAAATTTCACAACATATGTATAGATTACTGTATTATTTATAAGCGAAACTCAGACCCACAGAATCAACAGCTCGTAAAAAAACACTTTATAAAAAAAACGTCGAGAAAAACTAAACTATATTTTATGTGAAAATGAATTTATTGTGCCAGATTCAATCAATTGACTATTATACTTTTATTTTATAATTTTCTGTTCATATTTAGATTGATTCATCTTCAATTTTTATTTTGTATTATTCTCTAGAATTTTGTCTTATAAACCTAATATAATTATTGACTATTCAATTAATGTACTGTATCGGTCGTATAAAAGTATATGCGAAATATCTGAATTTAAAAAGTGAATTTACAGAATTGTTCTTTTTTAATACTTTTGTAACATACATTAAGTTGTTGAACTTCGCTGTCGAAATATAATGAAATTGAAATTAGTATCTATTTGTACGATAGTTTATTTTTGAATTCAAAAGTGTTACTTATCTCATCTTCTTATATAAATACTTTTGAGCACTTATGAGGTAGATTCTATCATTTTTTATATGCACTCAGTATAAGGACTAAATATATCGTTGCCCGACTCCTTTAGAGAAATATTTTTGTAATATATATATATATATATATATATATATATATATATATATATATCTTTTTATAAACTTAGTTTTTTATTATTTATTGTAGACGTTTCGGAAATAGTTACGTTCCATCTTTAGGACATCTGTCAAGAAACATGATCTTGATCAGAACACAAGCAATATACTTTAGAAAAATGGTGGATTTTTATTAAATAAGTAAAATTGTGAAAGAGATGATATTATCAAAATATGACAATATAATCAAAATAAAAATAATAAAAGTAAATGAGTGGATTATAGAACGAAATATTAGAACTATTAGAAAGTTTTTTTAAAAAAGGGGTATTAAGAAAAAACAGAACTAATTACCTGCATTATTGAATGTACACTGACCCTTTGCCACTAAAAACGATTTTTTCCAACACACTTTTTATCGAAAAATATGTTTTTAATTCTTCTAAGGTAATACCGCAAATAAAAAGTCAAAAGTCTATAGAATTTTATTCTTTCCAACGTTTCAAAATATTTTATGCCATCATCATTGGATATTAGACATTGGAATCTCACATCAATATATATGCACAATGAATATTATACAGCATTAAAATTTATTACACTAACTTGTCTTAAACAAAAAAGTTGTTTTAAATAAATTATTATAATGCTGAAGAACACTATAAAATAAATAAAATGTATCTAGAGTACAATATTTTTACAAGAAAGCTCGTGATGGTGATGGCTTTCGAGGTGATAATGCTAACATATATATACATATATATATATATATATATATATATATATATATATACTTATGTACAAAAATATGAGTGAGATTTTATTTAAAACTTTTGAAATCATCAATGATTGGTTTCAATCATTTTTTTTCCTTCAAAATAACCCCTCTCGGATGCAATGCTTACTATGCCAGCAAATGCAAATAATTTCAATTTTCAAAACATTTTTGATACTCATCTTCCGGAATGGCCGTTAGATCCTTCTTCGATTTGACTTATATCTCTTCAATCGAGTCAAAACGATGTCCACCAGAAGTCATATTGGTTGAACTTTTGTCGAAATCATCATGAAGAATGAGTGCATTATCGTAGTGAAAAACGACTTACAAATTGGTGTTAAAATTACAATATCAACAAGCTCTCTAGTAGTCAATCAACGATTTTGCAATCTTCTTGGAATAATTTATGCCAATCAAAAACATTTGCTCTTGACATTGACTTCTCACCAAAGTTCTGCAACACATTTTGAACGTTTCGGCTGCTGATATTTCATTTTGCGCACAAAACTTAATGCCACTTTCTTTTTGAATAATTTCAGAAAATCAAAGAAACAATTAGATCATCTATATAAAATTTGATAATAAAAATTTGAGAATGTTTTATTAAAACCTTCAACATAGCTGTATCTATTATTTGTTAATTTATTATTTTACGTCAAATGTAATTATTAATTATTTTTTTGAAAGTTAGTATTTTATTTTTTAATGTTGTATTTGGTATATATTTATCATATAACAATAATAATTACAGATCCGAGAGTAGCTAATTGGCCGATGATGTCGTCCCCATTACCTACTATAATGTTATGTTTAGGATATGCTTGGGTCAGTAAATCTATAGGACCAAGTCTCATGAAGAATCGACCAGCCTTCGACTTGAGGCGTGTTCTGGTCATATATAATTTATTCCAAACACTCTTTAGCGCGTGGATATTTTATGAGGTAAATCCTGACATTCTTTTTTCATTTAACAATTGACAATATAGTACTTTATTTTGTAGTACTTACAAAGTGGATGGTGGGGACTTTACAGTTTTCGCTGTCAGCCTGTAGATTATTCAACCAGTGAAATTGCTTTAAGGGTAAGAATCTAATATATAAGTCATAATTATAGTTTATCAAAAATATAAAATAAAAAATTCTATTTTGATTTTCATGTATTTTCTTGTCTGCTAGTTTTATATTGTTTAATATTATATCACTGTTAGCTATTTGGTCGCAATGCTATTTTGCATTTATATGAAGTAATACATCGTATTTTCTTATTCAAATGAATAATATTCATGTAGTATTTTTTTTTAGAAATAGGATTGAAATTGCAACTTTTGTGGTCGGAACCTTATAGGTTTAAATACCTTTTATATTTTAATATTTGTTATGTTATAGGTGGCTAAATGCTCCATGTAAGCGAGGCCAATAAAATTTTAAAAATATGTATATGTATACATATTTTTGTTCGTAAAACTTCATTGTAATAATTTTCCTTAACTCTTTCGCTTCGGTAGTATTTTCCGCAGGAGTGACACTGCTGTACAGAACAACGTGCCGCTTAGTGCTGCTACTGAACAGACTAGATACAACAACATTTAAAAATAATAATTACTTTTAAAGAATTAAAAATTAGAATTTTCAATAATTTAACTCAGTCGTCTATACTCTTACACACAGCTCGTCATGCGGATGTCGCTCATAGACGGCTCTCGTATCAAAAGGGTTAATAAGCAATTATATTCATACCCGCTTACATTTTTGACTATTTGCAGTTTAGTTGCCACCAAAAAATCAATAAAAAGTACGATTATATGATTTTTATTAAATTTATTAATATTGTATTTAACAATTCATGTTTGTTTTTAGATGGCTAATACCTGCTGGTGGTACTACTTTTCGAAATTCACAGAATTCTTTGACACCATATTCTTCATACTGCGGAAGAAAAATGAACATGTATCGACGTTACATGTGATTCATCATGGATGTATGCCTTTTTCAGTTTGGATGGGTCTTAAATTTGCTCCAGGTTAATATTAGAGTATAGCTAGAACAATATTAGTGGTAATGTATTTTTTACTTTGGTATGCCAAGTGTATAACGCGAATATTTTAGCAGAACGAAGCTATCAGACTAAACTATAAATATTACAGAAGAATCATTTTGCTGAATCCAATGGATTCTTCAATCCGACTTTTTTATTTTGACTAAAAACTCATATCTGTATTTAACAGACACAAGGAAGTTTGACTCAATATGTATAAATAATAATCAATTTGTATAAATTTTCAAATCTATTAAAAAAAGTTTAATTAAAACTTGAAATACTCTGGATTATATATATTATCTAGTATTTTAAATATAATCTTAAGTTTATACATTACTGCAATGAAGCTTGCATAGTTTGAACTATGATAATTAATGTTTCTACAACTTTTAGAGTTTTGAAAAATGCTACAGCTATTTAATTTTTTTTAACGGTGGTTGTTGAACTGCATTGATTGAAAAGACAACAAATATTTATTGCAATTTATTTTTGGTACTAAATGATTGATTATTAGGTATAGTAGTGATAATTTTTATATCAATTTATAGAGATTTTTACTGAAATAACACAATGATTCATAGATCATTGCAATTTCAAATACTTTAAGACATACAGAACTGAAATAAACATTCAATTAACAAAAATATAATTGCTATATAATGAGAGATAATAATTGTATCATCGTGCGAGAATTTGAAATACATATTTATTCAGTTTTGTATATTCAAAGATAATGTGGAACGTAAGATTAATGAATGTAGAAGAAAAACTGAATGATTTAAATCTTATTTAATAGTAATAATAATACTAATACAATAAAAAGCATTTGTGTAATATGGATCAATTCCAAGGATAATTAAATCAAAATTGATTCATGAATAACTCTTCTTTGACTTTGTTAATAATTTTCTACACTAATGTATAATTTTAAACTTAATTAATTTTAATTTTTTATATTAGGTGGCCATAGTACATTCTTTGCTTTATTAAATACATTTGTCCATATAATAATGTATTCATATTATATGGTTGCTGCTTTGGGACCTAAATATGCCAAATATATATGGTGGAAAAAGTATTTAACAACACTACAAATGGTATGTTAATAATACTTAATAATAATTCATATAAATAAAAAAATTTACACCATTTTTTTGTTACAGGTTCAATTTGTAGTAATTATGACACATCAGTTCCAATTATTGTGGACGGAATGTGATTATCCACGAGTGTTTATGGTCTGGATTGCCTTGCATGGAGTCATGTTTTTGTTTTTGTTTTCAGATTTTTATAAAGTAAAATACTCTGTTAAACCAAAAGATAAGAAATGTAAAGTAGAAGATTCACATGAGCCCAAGGTTTGTTAAAGTTCATAACAATATTGATTTTTTATATTTTATGAAAATATGTTGGTATGTAGATATCGAAATTTAAAAATTGTCAGATAGGGCAATAGTTTTAATTAAAAATATTGTTCTTTTCTTGTTTTATTTGCCTTAGTCCGTAGTTCTGCATATGAAACAGATAAAAATAGAAAAAAGGTTTATCATTAAATTCCCGAAGGAGAAGTTTATGTTTTTACATTTTCTATTAACAATGTTAGGAGCAACATTACATCTTGCCTATTTTAATCACATTTATTACTTACAGCAATTACCAGCAACAAATTTGAAAAGCACTTATGCCACAAATGGACAAATATATGAGAAAATATATAGCAATGGAATTGGAAGTGGTTACAAAGAAACTGCCGATAGTGGACCTATAAAGAGACCTTTATATAAAGAACAATAAAAGTGTTATTATATATGTACTTAATTTTGAGCTATTATTTTATTATAGAGTTATCTATTTTCATATAAGAATGTATCTATTAATTTTAAGGTGGTTTCAAAATTCTGTTGGATGAGTCACATTGTTTATGGTTAATTATTGTGCAATATTAAACTTTTTGTTTAACAAATAAATCTTTATTTATAATATTTGTAAATTATAAATAATTATAATTAACCTATTTTTCTGTTGTATTAAAATTTTTCTCAGGGATAGTGATTGTCAAGTTATTAATTTTCCTGTGTTCTTTGTGTTTTGGATAATCTGTTTTTTAAACTGGCAATTGTTTAACATTTCAGTACATAATAAAAATTTATTGTTTATAAGTGCAACTTTTATATATATATATATATATATATATATATATATATATGTATGAGGTTATTATCTTTTCATAAAATATTATTTTGAAGTGAGTTAACATGCAAAAGACTTGAAAAGGTTCTGTCTTCTGACTCATAGACTAATTTACCCAATCAAATTAAACCGTGATGAATCCTATGTAGGGAATGTCAACTATCTAATGAATATTGGTTGCTAAGCTACTACATTTCTTATTTTACGAATGAGCGTGAATCAGATGATTCCAAAAATTATTACCTAAGATTAGTTGTAGCCAAGTCTTCTACAATAATGATACAGTTATAAATCACAACACTCTACTATTTTTGTTATATATTGTCTAGGTATTTGTTCACCTACCAGAATTATTTTATATTTTTGGGCTTATTGTTATATAAGTGACTGCTGTCTACTGTTATCTGAATGATTCACCTGTACGTCCGTCCAACTGTATGGCTTTGTCAAATTATATATATAATACCTATATATGAAGTTTTAATTCAAACATTTCCTTTAAATAATTCTATATAATTATTTATATGCAAATTCTTATTTAATATTATATTGAATATATTTAAAAATAATTTTGAAATTCTAATGCCAATGGCACTTCTAATACTAAGCATTTTTTTACACATTTATATGCATACACACTTACATAATATTAATATATTGTATAATTTAATACCATTCAATACATAATTATTTATAATTACTATATATATGATATATATAGTATAATTATATTTTATATATATATATATATATATATATATATATATGTATATATTATATATATATATATATATATATATATACTTCTGAAACAGGTTTCCGCCAAGAGATTAAAATAGAAAGAAATCTAAATTATGTTTCTAAAAATATTTTTGATCGATTTTCATGTTTTGACTGTTGTATAGTGGGCAATACACATACACAACTAGCTGTAAGTGGAATTATGTCTTAAGGCAATTAGGGCATCGTGCCTTAAGGCAAATTGCGTAACTTCCCGTACCATAAATTATCATTTTTTTAAAAACGATTAACATTTTTGAAAAAATTTTACTTCGAAAAAAAATAGATTTTTGAGAAACTATAAAATTGACAAAAAATTACTTTTTTTTGAAAAAAAAATTTTTTATTTGAAAAAAAAAATTTTTTTGAGAAAAAAATTTTTTTTTGAAAACAAAAAAAAATTTTTAAAACATATTTTGGAAATTTTGAACTTTTTTTCAAAGCAATCGCACTGCTTGAACTGCATAGAGACGAAATGTCAAAGCTCGCAAGTGCCGCGCCGCCGTCTAACGCATAAGCATTGGTACGGAACCCATAGAAATGTAAAAAAAATTTATACTTATTGTTAAAATCTCTATAAAATATCTGATAATTTGATGTGCATATGTCTAATGATTATTTTTACCCGCCCAATGGCATTTTTTTTTACTTTTTTCATTAGATCTCCGAAACCGCTAGACCTGCCTTCATGAAAATTTGATCAATTCTACATCTTGTCAATACAAGTAAAATGTTTTTTGAATTATTGAAATCGGACGCTCCGTTCTCTTAAAAACGGAGGTACCGTTTTTGGCACTTTTTGCCCCGTATCTTCGGAACGGCTAGACCTGCCTTCGCCAAAAACTAATCAGCACGTCTCCTTATCAATACAAATCGAATGTTTTCTGAATTATTCAAATCGGTTGATCCGTGTTCCCGAAATCGTCGACGAAAATTTGTATCCGCACATACATACACACACGTACATACATACATACATACATACATACATACATACACACACACACACACACATACATCCTTTTTTTCTAAGGTATGCCAAAATGTTCAGAAACCTCTGAAACGTAAAGATATATAAAAATTTTCATTTTCGATTTTTTTGCGATTACTATAACTTGCCCTACGGGAAGTTAAAAACATATTCAATAAAAATAATACTTTAACAACAACAATCATGTTAATAAAAAATAGCAAAAGAGATTATATACAACGCAACAATATATACAGAATTTTGTGATATGAGTGGAACAAATATTAAACTAAGATTTTTACACACACTTTATTTAATAATTACAGACGTTTTGCGACCATGATATCAGCTCGATTCCCAACTTTCCAAAGATGTTTGAATTTTCAAAATTTAATATCAAATAATTCAAAATTACTTGAAAAATATAAATGAAAAATATGCAATTTATAATGTTCGAAATAAAACGTCAACTTATTTTGTGGAAACAACAGTTTAATGATCATATGACTAAATAATAATCTTAAACACATTATGTATTGAATTTTTCATTGCCCTAGAATTATAGCCACATGTACGTTCTTACGTGATTATGATTTTTTACATACCCTAGACAATATTAGAATTCTTCATATGATTCATTAGATTCATATGATTTATTATATTTTTGTATTTTAAATTTCGCTGCTAACTACAATTGGATGCAGTTGGCAACATTGTTACTACTTGGCAATATCAGATGGTCACAATGGCAAACGTCAAACATATGAAATTTTAGCGCAATTTTGTATGAGTAAATTAATGTAATTTATTTTTTATTTATTTTACTCTGAAATTATTATATTTTGTTAAGATAAATTTGTACTATTTAGGTTTATTAATAATGTGATGTATAATTTACTTCGGAACGATGATACTATCTATGAGTTATAACCGATTATTCTTTTTATATGTGCAATAACATAAATAAAAAAAAGAGAATGAAATGTTAATTTTTATAATTTAGTTGGCAAGTTTTTATTGTGGAATTAATTAAATTCAACTTAGTAATACGTCGAAGTTTAATTTTTTGGTACATTCGCCTTCATCTTTGTGGACAATATGACTTCGAAAACTAATTTTGATAAGCAACAAGTATCGAATGTATTCCAACTGATGATGGATGCTCGCAATAAAGTAATTGGTTCTAATTCACCTGGCAAAGACGATCGAACTGAAACAAATGTATTGAGAGATCAGAACAAAGAATTATTGGCCAAACGCAAAATCAAGTTTGAGGCATGGGCTGCAGAAAAAGGAGGTCTTAAAAGAAAACTGAAGGAAGAAGCTATTGATAATCAAATCAAAGAAGGTCTTGACAAACGTGCAAAACGGCTTAAAAAACTTATTTCTAATCACAATAAAAAAACTGATAAATTAGTTGAGGATTCACATTCTGAAGTACAGGCTGCTGAAAAACATGTGAAATCAAAAAGGAGTTCACGAAAAATTGATTGTTCAAATTCAAAAAATAGCGAAGTACTAAAAATATTAAAGGATGATAAAGAACAAACTACACCAATTATAAGTAATAAGTTAAAATTGAAAAATCGTGATTCTAAGTCACCAATATCTAACACTGACTATGAGTTTTTATCAAAACTAAGTCCTTCGCTGAAGAAAAGTGAAAACTTATTATGTTATTTTGATAAAGTTTCTCCAGAAGTCAATAAATCTACAGTTTCTTCCACTCCAGCATCAAGAAAAGCACACTTGAAATCACCCAAATGGAAGATACGTATAGCTACTCCAATGTGCAATGATGAATACAAGAATGCTAGTATTCCATCAGATGATGATGATGTTCAAATCCTGGATTGGGGTAATTTACACAAAAACAACAAAACTACTGTTCCAAAAACTAATCTGCCCTCTTTAAATTGTAAATCAAACAAGCTTCAAAATAATCTTGAAACACACAGTTCGAGTGGTAGTTCAAATAAACAGAAACTTAATATATGTTCTGAAGAAATTGTAATTTTTCCATCTGTAAGTCATGTTTATCAAAAATGTTTAAATTCTAAGGCTTGGAAATTACCAATAAATACTACTATGGGTTCATTTCATAACCGAAATGATGGGGAAAATATTGCTAATGATTTGCTGCTACACAATTTGCCTCTAGGCTCATTTACATCCTGTAAAAGATGTTACATTAGAAATGACACAAAGACAAATAATTTATCTCAAAATATGTTCAATGACAATCTCTTGGCAGTACTGGAAAAGAAATATCCCGATTTCCCTGTATATAAAACATACCAATCAATAAAAAATAAATATTTAAAAATTCAAGATGAAAATCATAATATTAATGATAAAGCAGTTATAACAAAAACAAGAAGAAAAAAATCAAAAGCTACGAAAAGTCCCTTGCAAACCAAAAATATATTAGTAAAAGATATGGAAATTAAAAATACACTTTGGACTGACACATTTTTTCCAGATAATTCTGAAGAATTTTTCAATATTGATGAAAATGGTGTAAATTTAAAAAAATGGTTAATTCAGTGGAAAAATTTAAATAATATGAAGCTCAAAAAACACTATGATTCTGATGGAACTTCCAATTCCGATAGCGAGTTTCAAAATTCTGATACAGAGTCTATTAATTCAAATTTAAAATCATTGGGAAATACATGTATATTACTTGGGCCCTGTGGTAGTGGTAAGACTTCAACATTATATATGTTGGCACATGAGTTGGGCTACAATGTTATTGAGCTCAATGCCAGCTCTAAAAGAACAGGAAAAATTGCATTTACCAAACTGCAAGAAGCAACTCAGTCTCATGGAGTTCGCAGTAATGATAATAAACTGATATATTTTACAGATAAATCTAAAGATGTTAAAAAGAAGTTGAAAAATAATTCTGTTAACAATTTACCTACAGTAAATTCTGTTGAAGAAAACAGTAAGTCTAAAAATTTATCATTGATTTTAATTGAAGATGTGGATGTGGTTTTTGAGGAAGATGATGGATTAATTTCAGTATTGCTTCAAATGGTACAGACATCAAAGAGACCTATTGTGTTCACATGTTGTGATGAAAACAATCCCAATGTTAAGAAATTTACTAATGATAATTTGGTATTCAGATTTAAACCAGCTAATTCTTTAAACATGTCAATTTGGCTGCAAATATTATGTTTTGTAAATAATGTTTCTGTTGATCAGCAAGAAATTCATCAGTTACTTCAATCTTTTAATGGAGATGCTCGGAAAGTAACACATCAATTACAATATTGGGCTCTTAGCAAAGGAAATTCCAAAAACACTTTAAGAAACAAAAAAAATAACATTAATAGTTCAATATCAAGTATTGACACTGTGGAAAATTTGCCACTTCCAAATAAAAAAGTTGATATACATAAATCAAATAATTTGTTATGCGCATGCACTAATGAGTTTTATCAGACTGATTGCCATATGTATACTTATGAAAATTTATGGTATTACATGTCTTTAAGCAAGTATTTAATCAAATCACAGTCAAATGAATTTGCACAAACAAATGGAAATGGGAACATAGATGATAAAGGGTATAGATATTTAATAAATATATTGGATACTACATTACATATTGGAGCATTTTCAAATATTATATCTACGTTGCAAATGAAAGATAGTCCAATACATCCCTCTACAAAAAATTTTAAAAATTATTTTTTAAGTAATGTATATTTTAATTCAGAGTTGGATCCACATAAAGATGATGGTTGCGAAATCCATTATAAAAGGTAATTTCTATTTTTTGTAATCTCAAGTAATTTATTGCTATATAAAATAATATTACATTATATTCTCTGCATGTTTATGTACATATATACTGATAAAATATAATCTATAACATGAAATCTATCTTTTACACAGAGTGCATGGTGATATAGCTGAGAAGAACAAAATTTTAGAGCAAGCTGCTTGTGAACGTGTTTCCGGATTAAAAAAGAACTTTGCTCTAGATTATGGACCAACCTTAAGAGCTATTTGCAGAACAGAAAAGCTTCGAATGGAAACAAATCTTAAGCGTATGACAGCTAACAGATTTTACCATTACTTTAGAACTATTGATGTAGATTTGAAAACTAATGTACTTAATTCTTTATGTGATTGTTTATGCTAGCAATGAAATGATCAAATGTTATTTAATGAAATACATCTATATAATTATTTTATTCATTCTGTTTTCTTACTTTATATATATATATATATATATATATATATATATATGTATATGTATATATACATTTGTAGAGCATTTGTATACAAATTTATATATATATTTGTAAAGCTTCGAACAAAGAATCGAAAAAGTAATAAAAAACAAAAACGTTTTTTAAAATCCCATTACTTTTTGGATTCTTTGTTTAAAGCTTTACAAAATATTTACAAATTCAAGACTCTACTATGGAATATATATATACATATATATATATATATATATATATATATATTCCTGAGTGTTAATTTGCAGCCAATCGTCAATATAAAAGAAACAATTTATTTATTACGTTTCGACTCGGTATAAATGAATAGTTTTTTATTTATTGTTTCTTTTATTTCGACGATTGGCTGCAAATTAACTTTCAAGAATATTTCTCAACGTCGAACTATATATGTTGTTTTTGGTATAAGTTGCTTAATAATTGATATCTTATTTGATAATTATAATTTTGATTAATTTTATAAAGTATGGTTTGTATTTGTTAATATATATTCATAATATCACAATCCAATTATACGATAAATACGTTCAAATAAACAGTTAAATGATTAAAGAGTGTCAAAACTACATAGTTTTAATAATTAAAGGAAATAAATAAGCAAAACATACCTTGTAATGAATTTCTAATAATCAAATCACCTGCTTATCTATAGCACTGAATTTAGATTTAAATCTATTTCAAATTTATTCCTATTTAAGTTAAAATAAGTTTTAAAAATATTAATTTGTTTACTTTATAACAAAAGTTTAAAATCAAAAATGTATGTTAACTGAATAGTGAACATCATAGATAAATTAACATAAATATAGGTGAATATGAATATAGTAAATCTTTAAGTTGGTGTACATGTACGACGTGTCTAGTTGGTTATTTAGGTTTGCATTACTTGTTTATCTATGCTTCTACCCATCTTCTACTCTTTATGCTTATTTATCTATGCTTCTAACCATCTTCTAACGATTTTTACATCAACATAAAGCCGATAAAAAGTTAAATCATAAATATGTGAAAATGTTTAAAACATTAATAAATAAAAATAAATTGAAATGGAACTAGTGCATTGTAACAAGTGCTTCACATTATCAAAAAATAATGTCGTGTCTTCATTTTTTGTATCTGATTGTGGTCATATTGTTTGTGAGCAATGTGTACAAGGTAAGTTTTATAATAAGTTGTCAAATGAAAAAGCAAAAAAATAAAATACAGATATATGATTTAATTTACAAACTATCTAAAATTAAATCATTTACTAACTGAATTATGCCAAAATATTAGTATTTAGCACCATGGCAACTTTTTGGTATCTAAATCACTTCATTGGTTCATACTATACATAATTTAAGTAGTTTTCAATATTGAATAATTCCTTTAAAAATCTGTGGATTTTTAGTGTAAAAATTAACGCATATTCACAGAAAAACATACAGAAAGAAGCCCATTTCTCTATCAAAAAGGTGATTTAAAAGAAGTTTCTTTTAGGTTCATTCCGTTATGGTGGAAGAAGTTTGCCAATTTGTTTCAAAATATATTTTATGAAATATATATTTATACATTTAAACATACAAGACAATATTTATACATTTATACATATCGAGAATATATCGAATATATTTATATCGAAATAGCAAAGTAAAATCGTAAATAAGCAATTTGTTTCTATCTACATTTGTCGTTCGTCTATGGATTTTGTCGCACTTGCGCAACTGTCTATTTGCAATCACCGACTTAACCTGTATTAACATTTTTCATTAATGCATTAATATTTATGTGATGATAATTTCAGCTATATATTTTCAATACAAGATATTTTAAATTATGAATATATAGGATTTTCATAAGAAAATATAATTTTATCATAGAAATGGTGCGAGTCATTCAATAAATAAGTAATGTTATTATGTCACAAACTTGTTTGCTTTGAACTCTTTTCAAAATGTTTCAACGTGGATTGTTAAGATGTAATTTACGTCATGGTGTCAGATTAGCAAATTGGCAAATATTGCACCCGAGCTTCTCGACGAATGCTCCTGTGGTCCAGGAGATTCTGAATGACCAAGGCAGAAGTCTGCCTCAGAAGAGAGTTAATAGAAGAAAGCCTCCTATTGAACCTGTTGCGAAGAACTTTTTTTGTGGAAAAGTAAATACAGATATATTAGCTTTTCCTGAAATATTAAATAAAGAAGAACTCAAACAACTGTCACAATTTACAGAAACCATAGATAGTGCAATTAATGCTGTTGATAAGGATGTTGATTCAACTAACATAACTGATTTAGTAAAATCTTTAAATGCCACTTCATTTAATATACCAATAGACTATGGTGGTTATGAAATGACAATTACTGAAATTTCTCGAATAAAAGAGAAGTTATGCCAAAAATTTCAATTAGGCTTAAAAATATTTGATACATTAGGTTATGGAGTTGATGAAATACTCCAATATGTCCATCCTAGCATACGACAAAACTTGATACCGAAAATATTGAGTGGGGACTGCACTCCAATCATTTGTTTTCATGAAAAAGATATTAATGCAACAAACAGTTTTAAAACTCAAGCTAAATTAAATAGAGATCAAAATGCATGGGTATTAAATGGTGAAAAAATTATCTACAAAAACGTCAAAGATAATGATGTGCTGATGGTGCTTGCAACAACTAATTTCTTAAACTCTACGGGAACACCAGTTGATTCTAATACCATGTTCTTAGTTAATGCCAATAATTCAGGTGTTAGTAAAATTAAAGTCAGCGATAATTGCTATAAATTGATCTTTGATAATGCTAGCATTGCACTTGACAACATGCTTGGGAATCAAGAAATGGGTTTAGAAATTTACTTGAAAGCTATGATAACTTCCAGATTTTCTGTAAGTATAGCTTGTTATAGTCTCCTGAAAGATTTATTATCAAAATTGTCTCAAACAATTATTAATTCTGATTTGTTAATTGAAAATGAATGTGTGCAAGAGAAAGTTGCTGAGGTTGCATGCGCATCTTATGCTATGGAGAGCATGGTATATTTAACTGCTGGTTTGCTCGATGGATATGAAAATCCAGACTGCACTGTTGAAAGTTCAATATTAAAAGTTTATTCTACAGAAAAATGTTTAGGTCTTCTGTTATCAAGTGTGCATATATTCGGTGTGGATCACTACATGACATCATTAGAAGTTAAAAATAGTATTCAAAGTATTACAGATTTACAATATATTGATGAAAGCAATGACTATCTCAAGATTTTAATTGGTATGCTAGGATTACAGCATGCTGGTAAGTCGTTTGCTGATAGTGTCAAGAAAGTTAGGAACCCTTTTATGTTTCCTGGTTTTATATTTAAAAAAATGTTAAGAAATAGACACTTTGAATCTGATCAACCTAAGCTTACATTAAAATTATTAGACTATGTTCATCCATCATTAGATAAGCAAGCAAATGATATTGAATATTGTATTCTGAAACTACAATATGTGACAGAGATGTTATTAGTTCGAAATGGAAGAGAAGCTCCTACTAAGCAAATGGATATCAATAAATTAGCAGCAGCTGTTATTGAAATATATGCTATGTTTGCTACTGTTTCTAGAGCATCTAGGTCTTATTGCATTGGTCATCACAATGCCCACCTTGAATTATCGCTAGCAAATGCAGTATGTAAACAAGGATTACGTAAAGTGAAGGATTTATTAGATATAGTTGAAACTGGCCCTTATAATTCAAGTGGTTCTGATTTTATAAAAATTGCAAAACAAGTTTTTAAAAGTTCAGGTGAATTTGCAGAGCATTCATTAAAAACAAATTATTAATTTAATCGGATTTTATGCAAACATAATACAAATGCAGCATGAAATGTGCAAATGAGTTGCATCAATTGTTTAAAAAAAGTGAGTATATCTGACAGACCCTAGATAAACTACCTGAAAGGCTAACTGCAATCGATAAACTTCAGCACTATAGAAAAACTAATGCATTTCCTATGAAATGCATATTTCAAATGACTTTGTGCCTAGTACTGAATTTAAAGCAGATTTGTTGTTCTATGTTAATAATTTAAAAACATGTAGCAAAAACTTTGAGATTTGTATAAATGTATAAATAAACAATTGGTATGAATAAACAAATTATTATTTTTAACAAAACGAGTTTATATATTTATGAGATAGAATAAACCCCTTAAAACCACCTATAGAATCTGAAGTGAAGTTACGTTTTTAATACTAAATAATATCAGTTTGTTCTGGATCTGATATTATTTTTATAGATTGTATATTTCTCTATGAAATTCTTAAGCATTTTCACTTATCTTGATTACATTTTCCATTATTCACAGGAAATTCTCATAGTTCCAGTCATTGCATTAAATGTAAATTGCCGTGCAAACTAATTCGACTGAATAACAATGTAAGTAAATTTTATGATTGTTCATATCTAATATTGAACATCGACTTTATTATAATTATATTTTAATTTATATATCTAGTTCTATTTTATACACATGATTAGTCATCAAATATAAAAAGATAGATTTTTAACTCTCGGCTTAGCAGATAATTTTATTTAAAATGTTTATGGTTTTTGAACTTGTGGTTCTAAATAGTACATGTGAATCATATGCTATAAATTTCAGTATTCCTATCTTAAGGGGCATTTAACTAATTACTTTGTTTATATTACTTAACAGATTGATCAAGATATGAAATTCTTCTCCAATTTAGAACCATATATTAATTGTGGCATGAAGTACATGCTCTTTCAGAATCGACAGTATGAATCAATAGCAGATTCTACATATCAACTGAAACAAAAATGTTTTGCAATAAGCAAAGAACTTCAATTAATTAAAAAATCAATTTACAATAAAAAGACTAAGGTCAAGGAAGGTTATGCAAGAATTAATAAAATGCGGTCTTATATAATGGCTTTAAAAGGTGATACATTTCAGTCTATATTAATTTTTTTATTGCACATACTCAAATATTAAATATTGCTAAAATAAGCAATGAGAAAGTTGTTTGTGTGGAAAATAAAGAGTATATAATAATTTTACATCTGTACAGCATTTGAAAGATTTATGAATTCTTGAAATCTTCAACTTTTTTGGAGTTACATATAAATTTCGATTATTTTTTTAATTTGTTTCCATCATGGTATTACAAAAATTTTTATTCATTATTGAATTAAAATATCAATTAATATTATTTATTAAAGTATTTTCAATTTCATATTTTAGAGAAAAATAAACAGACTACCCCATTATTATCAAAAAATGATTTGCATCAAGCACATTTATCAAAGGTAACTATTTATTAACTTTAATCGTAAAATATGAAATGCTATACATATTTTCTGTATTCAAAGTTTTTCAATCGTTGTTTTTTTTTGTACAGATTTTTACAATTTGCATTGACTTTGCATATTTGCTCTTGATTTCCATCTGTCCTCTTGTTTTTATATGTAATTATAATTAAGTACAATTGTTATCTTGAGTATGTTTTGAATCTATCACTTAGTTTGCAAATACACATAATAATTAACTATAAATTTATTTATAAATTCACAGAATAACTTTACTTCTACAAATTCTGCAAAATCGAATACAGATCTGGTATCAACTTTTAATTCTGACCAAAATCGAAGACTTACTTGGGCTTATGTTGCACCTGTGAATGGCGCTCTTCATGTATATATAGTTATCATACATGTTTCACACTATTGTTTGGTTTCTAATTAAATATATTTTCAATTTCAGGTTTATCAAAAATAATTTGAACAAAAATACGTTATGATGATTCCAGATCGGCCAAGTTAAATATTATGTCCAAATATTAGCACCTGATAGTCGTGATCAAATATAGTGTACACAGTTTGCTCTTTTGATTTATAATTATTTTAATTATTCTGCATATATAATATCCGTTGAGACAAAAAATATTAATTTTCTCAAAGTACTGAAAACTGGTTTCAAACCATATAGCACAACTATGTCGTAGTGACTTATGGTCACTGACAAGATGAAAAGTTTACGTCTGGTGAAACCGCACAAATTGTATTGTCACCAAGCTCTGCCTATAACAAACCTTATGTCAGAGGACTGATGTGACATAAGCCAACTGATTTGCGAAGCTAAAGACAGAGAATAGTTTGACTATGGGTCAAAATGGCAGTGTTTGGCGTGTTTGGGTTATACTGGGTCGTGCTTTGGTTCGCGACGGACATAGAGTGGTTGCATGCCTTCCTGGTGTACTATCAATTATGGCAGGCCGAACTCATCCATTAAATGTGAATGGTATGAATTTAAAATGCAATTCCAGTGAGTGAAAATTCATTTTTACTAATTATAATTTGAGCACAAATATAAACTGTTTAAATAAACCTTAAGAAGTAACAACCTAACCTACAAAAATATACTTCGTTTAAACTATATATTCAAAAAATAGTTTTCGTAGTTAATAGAAAAATTCAAATATGGTAATTTTTGATAGAAATTTTACATTAATTATTGTTAATGAAACTTGGATGTATTATTATATTGAATATACTATAAGCGACTAATAAACACGTTTTGATTAGAACAATGAGAATACTGAGAACAAAGAAAATATAGACAACTAATATTTTTTTTTTTTGCTTAGGTTTTGTAAAATATTAGTGAACAACGAATTATTCTATACGAGGTCTGTTCAAAAAGTACCCGGAATTTTCGTTTTTTCAAAAAAATATTTATTTATTTGTCTACATTAATGTGGTCCCCTTCAAAGTAGTCCCCCCCAGATATAATACACTTATGCCAGCGTTTTTTCCAATTTTCGAAGCACCCTTGATATTCACTTTTTGATATGTCCTTGAGCACTCTCAGCGATTTTCTTCAATCGAGGAAAACCGCCGTCCTTTCATGGGTCTCTTCAACTTTGGGAATAGGAAAAAGTCACACGGAGCCATATCTGGTGAATTTTTGCACTTTGCAACACTTTATTTCATTTTTTACGCAAAATTTAATACAAATTCTTTGACTTTTCAATTCTTCCATTGTAAAAATCGCCGAGCTCAGAAAAACACGTCGAACCTTAGCGACTACCACAGACAAAGTAAACAGTGAATATAGCTGAAAATTTCATCATACTTTAGGGGCATGTATACCAACACAATAAAAAAAAAATTTTGACAATCAGACACTCCAGACCCGCGAAATTTAATTATTAGTAATTCCGGGTACTTTTTGAACACACCTCGTATAATGTGTAATGTCTTTTTCTACTGTCTACTGTCTACTTCCTGCAGTACATACCAAACAAAATATACTGATTTAAAATCCTTTCTTTTTAACATACGTCATTCAGACTCGACCAAGGGTCCAATTCTTGAGGCTATGCCACTAATTGTTGCTTCATGCTTATTATTACGGTAGCATTATATAATTCCGGTGGGCGAAGATAGACTGCTTGTCTAGCACTGGTTGCATTTGTTCGCTTTGGGTTTGTATTGAATAAAGATCACTGTCACATACAAAAAGTTTTCTGGCTTTTCCCAGACAGCGCATGGAGGATGGGTTTTTAGGATTTCGGAAACAATCGTTTTCCTAATCCGCTGCTCTACAAATCTTTCTCCAGCCACACTGGTCGTCAGCGTCGTCTCTCGTCGCTTTCTTTTTTTACATTCTTTATTGCTCCTTGACTTCCTTTCTTGAACTAGTGCCTTATTGTCTAATATTTTTCTCTTTCTGTTCCTCTTATTTTTGCCTTCGTTGTTTTACAATTTATAGGTTTTTCTACATTTATTGTTCTTGTAATACATCTCTTGTGTTGGCTAGAATATTAAATTGTCCTTCTGTATACGTCCTATTACTTTACCATCTTTGGGATTACCCAAGATTTTCTAGTTACTGTCTTCATCTTGTCGACGCTGACTAATAAAGTTTGAAGAAATACATTTTTTTTACCTTTTTCTATTCGTTTTATACGACTGCATTATCCAGACAGCGCATTTAGGATGGGTTTTCGGTCTTAACGCTCTTTATACTAATTCTGAATTTGATTTTAACGTTCAATTGGCCGATTTGAAAAAAAATGTTTGATATCAGGCTAAAACCAGATAAGTTAGTACACGAAGACGCTCGTATATATATATATATATATATATATATATATATATATATATAATGTTAAAATATAGCTCTTTAATATGGTTGGAATGAATGTCGAAAATTGCTTACCATACCGGCGTGTATTATTGATAATTTATTTTGAATCAAAACAAATCACATAAGTAATACTTATAATATTTTATATCCCAAGTTGATTATCTTATATTGCTTATATCATAGTAGAAGAATTACTTTAGCAATTTAATTATAATATCAGATTATTTTTTACACGTTATTACAGGTTCATAGGTCGCTTAACGTTCTTAATTGATTTTTTAAGAAACTGTTACACGTCCTGGATTTTACTGAAATGTGAGTGCAATTTTACAATAACAATATACATATAACAAATTTATATTTTTCATTTTATTTTTCACGACATAAATTCATTTATGACTGTTTATATGAATACCTATTCGACAGTTATTTATGAAAAAAACTATTAATCTCAAATATTTTTCGATCTATCACAGAAATAAATAAAACAAAATGAAATAAATTAATAGTATTAAGACATTAATGCTATGTTATATTTGAATTGGCTGCATTTTATATGTTGTTTTAGAAAGGTATAATAATTAAAAAGCAATTACATTGTTTAAAATACAATAAGCCGAATTAGAGCATGCAAAAACCCGCAGACATTGTGCGGGTAACGATTCTTTGTGGCAAGTGTTACTAACAGCTTTATAAGTAGTGTACTACTATATATTTGCGAAAAATTAATCGATATAAATAAATTTAATAAACTTTTTTTGTTGAAAAGTTTTAAGCTTTGCTTCATCCAATAAACTCAGGTTCCTTTTATTCACATAAATAACATGAACTCGCTCGAACATTGTCTTATCGAAGTGCACTAAGTGCATAATATATTATTCGATCATGTAGCTATAGCGACATAAATTTAAGTGACTCAATAATTTTGATGTGGGTATTATAATTGTTGGAAAACGGAAGAGATCTCGCAGAACGCATAGTATCGCACATTGGCTTCTGAGAAAGTACAGTTTGTTGCTTTTCACTCACAAGTCAGTTAGCGCTTCTTCACGGTGAATGTCCGACAAGTTTCGCGTTTTATATTAGAGTGTATTGTTAAGCCAAACCCACACGCAGCGGATGAGCGAACAGTTTATATATTATATTGTGTTGCAAAGACTTTCACGACTAATAGCTTTAACGATTAAGAGTTCTGCTTCTGGAAATGATTATGATATTACAATATAAATTAAACATATTTATTTCGCTTCCAATGAATTTCACAATGTTCAATAGATTTATATGCTAAAAAAGGCTGTTATTATAATATATTTTAATTCAGCTTACACTATTGTATTATAATTAAATTCAATTTATAAGACCACCCAGCATTTTTAGCCAATCAAATTCTCTACTCATAAGGTTTTTTTTTATTATTTATTGTGCAATATTATTATTGAAGTGCATGTTAATTATATATTTTTTTTCAATTAAATATAATTTTGTAGCTGCTTTAAGAGCTATCGGAATTGCTGGGTATTTCTGAAATCAGTCAAAATTATTAACTTCCTGTGGGACAAGTTATAGTAGCCGTCCAAAAATCGAAAATGAAACAATTGTGTATGTGTGAATACAATTTTCCATCCACGTTTTCGAGAGCACTGTTCAACAGATTTATATGAATCAAAAAGCAATCGATTTCTATTGATAGGGAAACATGCTGATTAGTTTTTTGCATAGATATTTCCAGCCGTTTCGGAGAGAAGAGAATTCAAATAACCTTCTGTTTGTGTTGACGATGTGAAGTAATGATTAGTTTTTGAGGAAAGCAAACAAAAAATATTTTAACATTTCAAAAATATATATTTTTTTGATTTTCAATTTTTTTTATATGTCTAAAATTATTTGGATTTTAATTTTAAATCAAAAATCATTTAAAATTCCTCGAATATTTTGTTACGGTACGAAAAGTTCCAGCAACTTGTCTCAGGGCCATGCACCACTAGTTTATGAGTATATTATTCTTTGGGCTCGTTCAAAGGTAAGGGGGCGCCATTAATCACGTGAGCGAGTTTTTAAGGATTTTTAAATCCTTAAAAACTCGCCCCTCCCCCTTGGTGATCTGTGGTGATATTCAAAATTAGCCTCCCCCCCCTCCCCCACCAAACATCACGTGTATTTTCAGTTACGTGATAAAACTGTAATTTAAAAAAAATTTTTTTTTAAATGTTTGATTTTTTTTTAAAAGTCAGTTAAAAAATAAATACACGTGATATCTTACTATACCCCTCCCTCCCCAACGTGATAATTCGTGATTTTTGTCCGACTCCCCCTCCCCCTAAAAACCTCACGTGATTAATGGACGCCCCCTAAGTGGCTAGCACGCCTGAACCTGAATCAGGAGTCCCGGGTTAGATCCTGCTTCGAGCAGTCTACTGTCAAGTAGTAGTGACAACGGTTTTCACATGTAAATTTAAATAGCAATACGTTTCCAAGTGAAAATAGCCCTAGTATTAAGTCATATCAGTCCAACTGCTTATAGGACCCTTTAGTACTGATTGCTGTTCAAAAATAATTAAAAAAGTATTACTCTTTACCTAATTGAAATACTTATATGGGATTATCCGTTTATACTTATAACTTGATTTGGACAAGTAAGGATGTATTGTTTTGATTAATTTGATCAGCTAATGTTTCGGTGGTACTTAGTGTCTAAATCGGATGTCAACCCATTGATTGGGCATCCGGGTATGATTGATTTGGAAATAATTTAAATATATGTATAATGTCCGTAATTAACGTTGCTTCAACATTATTGAGTATTAAAATGAATTTATTCCGAAGCGTAAACATTGAAGTCTATTAAACGTTGTGATATTTTAGCAATACAATTGGGAATAGGAGTTTTTAATTAGATTGAAGTAAAACTAAGCGAATGGTTTTTAGACATTATATTCTGCAATAAAATTAATTTCTATGCCAATTGAATTTTTACTGCCTTCGACGTGCAAAGAGCATAACCCGAATACTGTTCTGTTTTCTGTTGTATTATTATATAAGAAGAATTCGCATTCGTGTGCTGAAGCACCTTCAGCAGCCACACCGTGAACACCGCACGCTGCGTTAGATACTTGTAGATTGATTCCAGGTTCTGAGACGAACAAGTATTTACTATTTAGTAGCCAACTGGCTTTCCAACAGAGCACTACGTTTGTGTCTATCGTCGGGACACTAACAACAAAATGTGTTTTTATATATACGATCTATCAGCTGTACCTACTATGTGCCGCATGATTTCTGTCTAATGATTCCAATAAAGAGGAATTTAACATAAAATAATTAAAATTATGTTTTATAATAAATATGAACGGTTTTAAATTTTTATAAACTTACATTGTGTTGATTTCTGTGAAGTTGAAATTGCTTAATTATGATATAAGTTTGATTAAATGCAAGTTTGTATTATTGTGGGAGCAAGGTACATATTAAACATTTGGATATCACTAGCAATTTTTATGGAAAATTGAATAAATTGTAAGTAACTCAATATGATTTAATTTAATTTTTTTTTACAATTTTTATTTCTTTATATTATTTATATTACATACATACAACACATGAACGCTCGCACACACGTATACACATGTGCACATACACAAACACCTATCATACAACATATAAATATATATATATATATATATATATATATATATATATATGCAATTGTATAAGATGCATGGATGTAGCATACACGCATGTATATTAACGCATATATACATAATGAATACAGTAATAATGATCTGCCCGAAGGTAGGTCCTTAATATATGCCTCGCATATATGTATATATATATATATATATATATATATATATATATATATATATTGAGTACTGACATTGTTGAATTATTTACAGTTTTCAAATAATTGTTTTTCATTAATGCAGTAATTTTTATGCAAATCATTTTTCAATAGTAATCTACTGTTTAATATAGTTAATTCACATTAACTATTAACCCAACACGTGTTCAGTCTCATACTCCATATTCTAATGTTCTAATATATTTTATGATATGACATTTTTTTGTTAGCACAAATATTATTTACATGATATTATTACATCTAGTTTCCATAATTAACCTCTGTTATGTAAGTCCAGACGATATTATATAAATCTGCACGGTGTAGACATTATTTCCGTTATTCATTATTGCAGTCTGAAAACATTGGATGACCATATAGGTACGCCAAGTTTTATATCTTTTTAGTCACGTGAAATTTAAAAATCAAGGATGCAAAATTATACCGTTACTATTTTGCTTGGAATATAAAAACACCGCAATATAATGATGAGGAAAAATATTTTATCAATGCAGGTTTGATATGAAATTATTTGTTGTTAAATACATCTGAATTAGATCGAGATCATTTCCATGCATTTTTTATATTATATATGGGACTACATATATTCAGTTACTCTTAGAATTATTTGTAAATCTAACAAAAGTATTTTCATTCATGTTTTTTTTTTCTTTTTTTTGCATCATAATTTTTACTTAAAGACTATTCCAGTTTTTCAGCTACGGCCTTCGTCGTACAAAATTTTTCATTTTTGTAAACAAATACTTTTTAAGGATCTTGAAAGTAAAATGAAAACGTTATTATATGGAAACTAAAAATTCTAGAATGATTTAAAACTCAAATTATCAAATTAGTTATGCTCAATCTTTTAGATAATCCGTGACTGGAGCCATATTCACTCGTAATAATTTTTGTTTTATTAAATAATAGAAAAAGATTTATAACAATACAACTTGACGTGTATGAAATTCAAACGGTTTATGTATTAAAACACGATTGACCAAATTGTCTTCATACCATGAAAAAACTTGGTTACTGTTGAGTGTATTTTACAAGATTAACACAAAATTTGCTGCTAATTACTTGGCGTTTTATTAATTTCTATTGATTAAAGTGAATATATCTATATTATAGTAGAAAAGATGTTTTAAATTGTCGATTATTATTAATTCAAGCGTTATTACTTACCTTTTTTGCCAATTTTTTTTCTCACATTTGTAGCCAGCTGATTAGCAAGAAATTGTAAAAAATATTTTTTCATAGGCAATTTTTAATGTTGCGGTGATATCACCTTTTGGTGATCTTGATATTATATATTATATCTCAAATATGATGATGGTAAACCATTAAGATTTTTTTTTATTTTTTTCATTGTTTTATTGACTTTGTACGAGTGCATTAGTCATTTACAATATACTTAAGTCTAATCTCAATTACTTTGTCTAAACAATTCTCACTAATGGTTGCCCTCTAGAAACACTATGTCAAGAAATGTACATCACAACAGCTCAGAATACTGTTTAAATATAAAAAAGAATAATAATAATATAATATAAATCTTTTATGAAGACTTGCGCCGGTATTATCGAGACGTAACTATCCCAAACGTGTCAAACTCTAATTGTTTAATTATTTATATTATTTTATTATTTTATATTGTACAATGTGCATGAAAACGTGCTGTTATTAAATTAAATATAATATTTGAAGGTTTACCATATATTTTTTTCTATTTTCTTTTTTTCCTTCTTTTTTATATATATTTGCACCTATTTTATTATGAAATAAATTTTTCAACAAATTATTTCACAATGAAAATTTCATTATGAAACAAATTACAGGAAATTTATTGGTAGTACTTAGAACGATACCAATCCAATAATTGGGCGTCCACGTATGGTGGTAAAGGTTTACAATAAATGCAAGGATTCATTTAAATAAAAATTACTTTTTAACATTGCTATGTACATTTGTAATTTTTTCTTTTATTTTATGTTATTCAATAATATTAATTCAAATAGTTTTTCTATACTTTATGTGATAAAGTCTAATAATATTATTTTGGATGCTTTGCCAAACCAAATAAAAGCTTGGCTCAGATTGGAAAAATTTTACTATACACGCGGAAATCAAGTCAGGCCGGAGCAACGGTTTGCGTTGCCTTCGATTTCTCTCTTTGAGAGGATGGAATAAGTTCCATTGGCATTTCGCCTAATATATATAAACATATATATATATATATATATATATATATATATATATAAGTTTACTTCACATTATGTGTTATATAAGAATACTTCACATTATGTGTTATATTATTCTACATGAAGAGTAATGATAATGTTTTCACATTTTGTCAGAAATTTATTAGTTTAATTTATAATAAGGTATATTTCGATTTTCAAATTAATAATTTATTTGGTACAGCATTTTATCGCTTTTAAAGTTACTTATTAAAACGATGCACATGACTTTAGAGTAAACTTAATTTATATGCAGAATAAATATCTGTGAACGTTGTTTGAATTCGCTAACGAAAATAATGTAATGTTGCTATAATATGCCTTGATGTTTTCATAATTCGATATTATATTAACACACACACACACACAAACACACACACATACATATATATATATATATATATATATATATATATATATATATGATTTTGTTGTAAACAAAGTGATGAATAACATTATTTTTAACATTATTCCACATTAAAAATATCTGATAATCGTGAAAATTTAACTAGTGGTGCATAGCATCGTGCCTTAAAACAAATTGCTGGAACTTCCCGTACCATAATAAAATATTCGAGCAATTATATTCTATTATTATGTATACTGTAACATTCATTATTCATATATTATAGACAAAATATAAGAGCTTATGAATTGGACGTTTATATATGTTTTCATGAGAAGGAAATAAACAAAACTTAATCAAGTGGAGTTAGAATGAAAAACTGTATCTCATATTTCTAATAATAAGAATTATATGAACTGAATTGCAAAGTTAAAATCATTTACCTCAGATATATAAGTGAGTTTTAGAATTTTAGCTAGAATTAAGTTTAAAATCAGAATCAATTTTGATATTTGAAAAAAAAGGAAATTGAAAAAAATTTTTTTTTGATATTTTGAACTTCAAAATTGTTTTTGCCTTTCCCAAAAACTAATCCTTTCTTCACATTATCAAATGTTTTTCGAATAAATCAAATTGGATGTTTCGTTCTCTCAAAAACTATAATTTTTGCACTTTTAGTTCCGTATCTCCGAGACAGCATTACTTATATGTTCCAAAAACTAACCAGCACGTCTCACCGTCAATACAAACCGAATGTTTTCTGAATCATTCAAATCGGATGCGCCGTTTTCTCAAAAAATTCCATTTTCTGCACTCTTTGCTCCGTATTTCCGAAACGGCCGAACTTTGCTAAAAGAACGATTATTTTTGAAATAATTCAAACCGGTTAGTCGATGCTCCCGAAAACATCGAGGAAAAATTGTATTCATACCTACACATCCAATATATAATATATCCAATTTCTCCAACCAACCAACACTTCAACCTTTGAAACGTAAATATATGCAAAACTTTTCATTTTCTATTTTTGTACGATTACTATAACTTACCTTACGGAAAATTAAAAATTGGGTAAAACCTTTCGATGTTTTTAACTTGTTTGGAAAAGCTCTAAGAGTCAGTCCCTGGGGCGCAGGGCGGCATTGGCAAATAGAATGGTCGAGTTAACATAACGGTATTGTTTTTACCAAACATGCAATTTTTTCTAACTGTCAATTTAAATTGTAAATAGATCGACGTTCGCACTGAAATATCACGTCTAATCTCTTTTGAACTGTTAAATATTATAATACGAATATTCTAAGCTGGCACAATATCGTAATGCGTTCTAGTTAAGATATAATTTTTTACACGAATTATTCATAATTAATAAACCAATGATTCAATAATAAAATATTTTTTTCGTTATCTGGACATTTCGATATAATATATTTATTGTCTTTGAATAATAATTAATAACATTTAATTTACAGAATTTATAATAAGAATATTTAACGTAGTTGTATAAAGTTTTAAAGTATTATACATATGTATAAAAAGTATATTTACATATTCACAACTTACATTTAAATATAGATTTTATTAGCCTGAAAGTCTTTAATTACTGAAACTTATTTGCAACATGCGACACAGATAGTTTCAAAATGCATCTATTCTATTTTTCTTGTGATGTGACCATGAATACTTAAGAAGAATGGATACCCACCTTGGCCAGCTTGATATTAAGCAGTTGTTGTATCAGATTATTACTTGAGATTATAAATCTGAAATATGATATTAAGTAAAAATAGTGTTTTTGGCCATTGATGCAATATACACATATTCACATCACTATCCAATAATGAATTCATCTCCAATAATTCATCAGAAAAAGATATCTAGAAACACTTGATTAGAGACGGAACATTACTTTTTTGCATTAAATATTTTTTTATAATTATTACATTTAATGAATGAATAATATTCTGCAAGTCTAGATTTTGTAACTGAAGAATTTTGGAAGTATAGTTTTTAATTGAACTTAACCCTCCGTCGGTCGGCGTGGTCTGGCCAGACTTTTTTCGACTTCAATTAAAAAAAAAAAATA